ATCTGAACCGTTCGCGTCTATTGAAACTAGATTCAGTTTTCGAAAAAACTCCATTATGCGACTCCTCCCGAGATTCAATCAGGCAACACAACTGCATTCGGTGCGGCGCACGGAAACCCGGCACTGAGCACATCTAAATGCGAGTCTTACAAATAATCGGAAGAACGCTATAGGCAATATCATCCAGGAACACTTTAATCTGCCCAACGAGGGTAAAGAGGAAGCGGTGAACGAAGCGACGGAAGGGGTCCTAGGGGAGGACCAGCAGAGCCAAAAAGTACGCAATGAGGCAGGAAATAGAACGGAAAATTCTATCACACATTATGCTATACTTCGAAAAGAATAAGTGAGGTTGAAAAAGATAAATTGTGAAAGAGTTCAAATAAGAGTGTAGTTCTATTAAGGTATTTCTAAATCAAGGATGGCACCGATCATAGAACTATAACGCAGAGGAACTTGGTCCTCTGCATATTTCAATCACGCTCGGAGTACAGCTGTAACTCTCACCAGCTGAAAAAATTTGTCAAACCCCTCGTTATCGCTTGAGGTCCAGTTACACGATCAAATTGAGGCATCAAACTGAAGCTCTGATTGGTGGAAAAAGACCTGAGGTGAGGATGCGACCAATGAGAGGCCCAATTTGATCGCGTAACTGGACCTTATCGATATAATATTAAAGAAACGGCATTTAAAACTAACGAGGTAAAAAGTCGCTGAAAAATGACGGTTGGATTCAGCTCCCTGCGTTACGAATACACAATAATTGGATGATGCAATTTCGATAGCGACGCAATCTGCGTTGCGTTCGATGAATGGTTATTCAACTAAAATGATATTCCGACATGGGATTTCTTCTTCGATCAGAAACCTGACGAGTTAATAAAGCAGATCTGATATGTAATAAAATTTTGGATCATTGCTCCACGTGAGCGATTTACCTCTGCGAAGAACAGCAGTTCTATCAAACGAAGGAAAAGGAATACCCGATGGATAGAAGTGGTAGAAAAATGGAGGCGGAGACACTAGTGCCGCATCCAGAAAAAGAAGGGGGTTTGCAGAAGGGAGAGTGGAGTTGAAGACTCCGATATTAGGCCTCAATTGGACTGCATTTTGCAATTCGGACCTATAAATTCTGGCTCATCTGAAAAAAACATTTATGTGCATAGGGAAACTAATGGCACATACGTTGTTTTTAAACCGGGCCGGGATTTATGGGTCCAAATTGCAAAATGCAGTCCAATTACTCTCAGAGCCTTAGATGTTAGACTTGCAGCAGAAAAAAAATTTTGAGCGTTCACCTTGCCATGTGTAGGACCCCGCTTTGCTTCATGTTTAGATCCACCATTTTATGCGGCGAGAAGCGATTCAATTTTTTTCAATTTTTGTTATTTATTGATATTGCTTACGTTTTTCTTTATTATGGTGCACTTTATACACGTATGATGCGCCTTTCTTTCGCAAAATTTATTTTTCCTTCGTAAAACGATTGAACTTAATCATGTTTTTACGTTCAATTCCAGTTCACAATTAAAACATTTTCCTTGCGGACGCTGGTAAATTCCACCGAATTGCGATTTTTGCGATCCCCCCGAATAAAAAATCCGCAGCTTATGACAAAGTGTTTGATTTTATCCATAAACGGTGCCCAGAATTTAAATCAACTGAGTGCGTTTTAGATTTAGAAACAGTTTTTCACTCCGCAGTTAAAAAAATACCCGGCCCGATATTTGTACGAGCCGATTTCACGTTACACAGTCGTGGTATCGAAAAATTCAGTCGCTGGGGCTTGTGACCGTTTGCGAGGACGAAAAGTCGGAAATCGGTCTGTGGCTCCATCATTTTTTTGACTTAATTTATTTGGAACCTGACGCCGTCGAAATTTCGTTCGTGTACAATTTTATGGCTTCTCAACCGCACTACAACGCGAAGTGCAGTGCATTTACCGATTACCGTTGTGAAAATAACATTGACAGTGACGGCCCTTTTCCGCCTCATACGTGGGCATTTGTCACTTCGGATACCACGCTCACAACGAACGCCTGTGAAAGTTTCCGCGCCAAAAGCCAATATTTGTATTCCGGGCACCCGAATCTTAAGTTGTTCATTTACGCTTTACTCTCCTATCAGGTAGAAGTTTACGTGCAGATTTGAGTTTACCTGCTATCACATAAGCTATTTACCTGCTATCACATAAGCTATTACCTGCTATCACATAGGCTATTTTAATGTCTCATTAATTTAGTAATTACTAGGATCCTTGATCCACCAGTTAGACTTAAGTTATGTAAACAGATGTTCAAGTAAAATTTCCTAATACTGTAAAGTAGGAGAAATGAAATAAAGATTAAAAAAAAAAAAAAAAGAAAGATTCCGAGTGTCGCGTCGGGCACGCTGTCACGTTGCGGCCAGAGGTTGAAAAGCAAAAGGCGTACTTACAGGAACAAATTGAAAAATTTAAAGAACACAAAGACCGATGAAATTCGTCAAGGAAGTCTCTTACTGGTTTAGCAACTTACGAAAGTAAAAACTACTTGCTCCTTCATTTTAACCAAATTTTAGTTTTTAATTCATAATTTATACGACGTGGGGCTCTTTACACCCTTGAAATGTGTTCTGAGGTGCCTTTTTGTTTTTAGCCATTGATCTAACACTGATTAAGTTAAAAAAATGTTAAACTGGTTCCTCTAAAACCGAAAAGGCTTATCCTTATCCTCTCAAAAATTTAAACTTTCGATTTTCCCGCTGAATATTATTTTCTACTACTACTTTTTTCCGGTTAACAAACTTTCGTTGGCGATTGACTTGAAACAATATCCAGTAGCGAACGACTTTAAATACATGTTCTTGGCGATGAACGAGTGTCTTAAAAGTGAATGTTCGGACAGAGATTTCCTATGTCGCGTGATGTAACATTGCGTGTTCAATTCTAATTATGTTAGTTTAGGTAAAAAGTGAGAGTTATTTTAACCGTCACATCATATTTTGTTTCACGGATAGACCAAAATGAAAAATAACTAAATATCCCATCTCTACTATTGTAGACAACAGCTAATAATAATATACGGTAATTCAGGCAATGAACTCAATCAATGGACATCTAACCATCTTGGCATGAGAACCATTACATTTTTGTGAGACGATTTAAACCTTCCTTGACAAATTTCCTACCTATCAATTTATCTTTCAGCGTAACTACTCATCAACGATTCTATGAAATAAATTCAATAATTAGGGATCTAATATTCGTCAAAAAAATTCTTCTGTTTAGAGTATGTTTTGCATTGACCGTGATCTCATAATTTCGTCAATAAGCGAAGGGCAACTTTCTTCTATTCCTTCCTTCTTCAATTCATGGATTTTAGCTTGACTTGACTTAAATTTTGGTATATAATTTATTGGAGGCATAATAATATTTTCGAAACGACTCTTGTTGCCACCAGTTAATTTGATTATAAAACTGTTATCTCCAAAAACCTTTAATTTTTCGAGACTAACGATTTACTGGACAACCAGTTGTCGTAGTTTTCGCTTAAAAAATAAAAAAAAAGTCTCAATCGAAGGGTGAAAAAATACGCTGGTAAGATGAGTATTTCGGACGGATAACGATTCATTATTAGGGAATAGAAGAAAAAGCAGCTACTACGAATAATTTCAGACACAGCTCCACCAATGGTATAAGCAAATTTCAGGGCGCGTTTAGGTAATTTTGCCGCGCACGTACTTGCTTTAAAATAAGCGTAATAAGAATCATTGCACACGGAAAAAATGAATCATAACTAATCGAGAGCTGGACCTTATTTTTCAGGATCCAGCATCAATTAATTTGGACAAAAAGACTAATTTTAATTGATTGGAGTTGAAACCTCAACTTAAGTAGTAGCTGGACAGCAATTCACTGTGTCTGCATGATTCAGACTTTGAAGAATTTTAGCCGCAATTACTTACAAATGGTAATTTTATCGGACAATTCAGCCGGAATCACAGTATCACCTATTTTTTCCCTGGTGGACATATCATCGTATCCCTCGCGGAGAAACCTAACTGCATTTCAATGTTGCCAAGTTTGTTCTTGCAAATTGCATTATAACTAGGAGAATCTTGGGCATTTTCTAACCGAAAATTCAACTGATTTTTCCTCTGATCCCATGCAAGAATCAGAAAAATAGTGGACAAACTATACAGGTGTACTCTTGTGAAAACTCGAATTGATGTAATGAATCATGTAACATTGGAATGGAGTTACGTTCCTGAATTAAACTATGCTATGAGACACGGTGAAAATTAGTAGATCATATGATTGGAGTTTTCAAATTCACGGGAGTCAATATCCCTGTTTTTTTCTTTCTCTCCTTTTGCAAGATTTTGTGACGTTAAATGCGGACCTTAGAGGACAAGGTGCATACGTGCAGTTTTTGAAAAAAAAAATAGTTATTAATCATTTCAAATAAAACTAGTCTTAATGCATATTCTGTAAAAAATTCGCTTCATTACTCCAATTTTTATTTCAGTGCCCTTAAAAAAGAAAACTTAAAAAGGTTAGCCAAGTTGTGTAAATATGCCTGGGATTATAGATAAAGGGTTGGTAAGAGAAGTTAAACTTACAAATGTTAAATTTCACACCATTTATACAGAACTGCATATTGGTAAATGATCGTGTATTTGTAATTTTGGTGTTATACTATTAGTATTATAATGTTACTGTTATTTAACTGCGGTATTAGTTATAACCTCCCCCGGACGGTGGAAATTCCCACCATGGGGTATGCCAATGATATTTAAATGTAAAGAAAAAATATTTAGCAAAATTAAGGCCGATTATTATTTTTATTTCACTTCAATTTTTAAGCATCAAAAAGTGAGTTTTAACTTTCTTTCCGCCGTGTGGCTCCGTGTGTTTTTGAAACTTTAAACACGTAATTCTTGAACTAGCAATTACTGCACTTATGCGCCTTGTCCTTCAAGCCCCTCAAATAAAGAAAAAAAGTATCTGGTGAACTCACCTTCCTGCGAATGTGAATAACTACTGTAAGAAGGAATTAGACGCGAGTGGATGGGGTTGCGTGGAGAGTAGATTGAAGGCGCGCGCACTCCGTTCATACGAGATGGACACAAGAGGGATCACTGGATATCACAGAAGGGTACGATGGTTGCGGTCGTCACGGAGAAACACAAGCACTGGAGTAGGTCCAAGTTCGAATGGGAGTAGGGTTCATAGAGCCGCGGCTGCGCACTGAGTTGGGCCCCCCGGTTCACTTTCACGATTACTCTCACCACTCCGGCGAATCGGCTACTTATATAGCCGCCATGTTGGCCTCCTTCTCGCCCTCGCACCCAGGGGAGGATACTATCCACCTCCCGTGTTCGTCGACCCGTGCTTACCTTTTACTTCTTTCAAAGGAACTACACGTCAACGTAAGAAAAAAGGGGGAAAAAAATCACTGAACATATCATGACAACAGTAATTGAAGCACTGGGTGCAAAAAGGGCATTTCTTGGTTGCAGTGTCTCAGAATAATAACTGCACTGGAAAAAAAAGTAGCTTGGATCAAGCCTGATTATTCTTGAATTTGCCGCCGAGAATTTTTTTTATCTTGCTTTAAGCTGACTTTTTCTTGATACAAGAAAAATAATGATTGAGTTAAGCTAAAAAGTAGCTTATAATAATCAGCAAACTTCTTAATTTAAGAAGAAATACTTCTTGACGGCAAATTTGAGATTCTTTTTTTTCCACTGTGACGTTTAATCTGTTACAGTTGGATTGCATTTAGGAAAAAGGAACCAGCGCGATTGCAGTGTTGTAAAAATTTTGCTTCCTCATAGTTACCTAAAAATTCTCCATGAAGAGCAAGTAGTTATGGCTACTCACCAGAAAACTTTTAAATTTAAAGGTCGGTCTACACAATCGATCGAATATTCCTGCGGTTTGCGCCAAAAATTTCCTTTTTTTATTTTCTTTCGAAAGAGGTATCACAAAATTTGGCGTCTCCTGGGTGACGACTCTTGGTTAAAAATGTATAACTTTCGTAGTCTTTTCTCATGTGCGCTGAATAAAAAACTGATTATCCAGTGCATTGGTAAATAACTATTTAGTTAAATTTATTTCAATTAATATTACTTGAAAATCTTAGTGTTGTTGTATAAATTAACATGGCATGCTCAAGTTGGACCTTTACCCCTATCTCTTTTTCTCCGTAAAATTGCCCGTGTCAGATAAATGGTATGAGCAAAACCAGAAATTTTGGTGATACGCACTTTGCCCATCGCGGTTTGGGCCCTATATTTAAAAAAAAGAAGTCTCCAAAGTTGTCTTGAAATTAATCAAAATTCCGCTGAATTGGCTCTAAAAAGAACGATAAATTGCGAAAGAGATGGGTAACAATTGATTCCGCCCTCGCCTCAAATGCCGTCTCACCAAAAAAGAGGGGATGGTAGAAGGATTTGATGGCGATCATTTCTGTACGGAAACACCCTTTCACCTATCTTAAACCCGTTTTCCAAAGCAAACTTACCGTAAGGAGGAGATAAGAACAGTGCAACAGCATAAAATGTTGTTTTTTTTAACATTTAGAGGAGAACTCTCAAAAAACTTCGAACACTCTCGCTCTCATCGCTAATACAAACAAGAGCAAAGTTAGCGGCTTAAAGTAAAGGTGACATGAGCTTAAAGAAGCATTCTGTCAATTATTTACGATCGTGTCAAACACGTGCATGTTTTGCGTTAACTTTCATTTACAATCCTGCATCCTTCCGAAGAAATGATGAGAAGAAAACTGGAAAAACGCAATGACGCGCACTCGCTAGTGGCGCATGGTGACGCTGGAAGTATTAAATGAAGTAATCAGATAGAGCGAAAAAGTACGTGCTCACTCCAACCATCTTAAAATATGCACTTAATTACTTCATCAACAACTTCAATAATGTCAGTAGAAAAACCCGCTCGGGCTCGTTCCAGCATAAAAATGAGTCTAACGCAACAGAGCAGTCACATGAGTGCTGGTCTGCGGGCTGATTGTTGAAATTGATAGACAAAGAGTACATCAAAAGGAGTATGGAGCGATTCTATTGGTTGAGATGGGTGGATCTTGCAGACTAAGGGAGAAAATGATATACTACCTACATGGCCTCTCATGGGTTGTCGTTAGTTAGTCTATTATTTACCTCCTTTTGTTCATTGCAACCACCCGCTTCCACCATTAGGATCCCTCCATATCCATTTTGTCTGCTTAGTCTAAATAACTTTGTCTACTAATTTCAACAAACAGGCCCGCTCAAAAGGCTCTTTCACTCAATTTTCCAGGGTCGTACTTCACAGGCCCTTCACCAGACCAAAATTTAGTAATAATCGAACAAGGGCAAATCAAGTTCTCCAAATAGTACACAGTGATATCAATGGCCCTATCAATCCGCCTGGTTTTAGTAATGAAAGATACTTTATCTCATTTATTGATGACTTTACCAAATATGTTTTTGTATTTGTTATGTGTGTCGAACCTTTTGTCAAGTCCTTTTATTTTCTGGAATTTGTCACTGAACTCCTAGGAGGGTTCCCACTAAAAACAAGCATCAGCGACTATCCAATTACTAATAAAGCTAATTCGTAGGTTGAAGCAATCAAACTCTGTCTCTTCGTCTCTTTAGTATGAATGTGCACACAGTGTGAATGTTTTTCTTTTTTTTCTCTCCTTCCCCACTCGTTTGTCTTTCCAGACTTGATTGCTTTAACACCCAATGATAGTTATCCAGGAAATAAAACTCATGTAATTTAAAATGATAATACTTATACGGAAATATCATGCACTAAAACTTGAAAGTTATTATTAGAAAATAAGTACAAATTGTTTACTACAAACTTTTTCATTGTGCTTTTACCGGACACTAGAGTCCCTGTAAAAGCAGGAGGCATGTTGTAAAAAAAGTAGTCTTTGTCTAGATCGTGCTCGCACGTCAATCTTGTTTTCCACCTCTAACCTACCTAATCTAATTCTGTGATACCGCGCTGGTGTGATCATGGCAGGCCGACATCACATGGAGTTTAACCATTTTTCGGTACGGTATTTCTTGGCATAGAATACTCCAAGTTTTCTTAATAATTTCAAGGCCTCAAACGAATGACTGTTCATGTGACAGCGATCGAAAGTTCGGACTTTTCAATGCATGTGATATCTTTCAAATGAGAATAAACTATCTAGAATCGCAACTTGCACTGCTGTTATTTTTTCGTTTTTTAAATGCTTCTTTAAAAAAAAAAAAAAAAAAAAAAAAAAAAAAAATCCAAAATCGAGTATTGGATCAATTTAAAATTGCAGTGATGCCACTTTTGTGTTGTTGCCACAATTCTTTGTGGCATCAGTCACGCATATCCGCTTCCCCCGTTTCCGGTGCTTCCTCAAGGTCAAAGAATCACGATTTTGTTTACATTTCACTCATCATCTACAACCACCAAGTTCAAATCGAAAGTACTTCAATGTAGTTCAAATCAAAAGTTCAACCTACCCTCAGGATTATTTCTTGGATATGAAGTACCGAGTTAGGTAGTAAGTACATCTCTTGTAAACCTCCTTCCTAGATTTTAGCTCCATGCGTTTTTTTCGGATGCTCAACCAAGTTTGAGCCTGGTAAAGCTTTTCATAGACTACCTACCTTAGCGATTGGGCATGGATCAGGTGAGTAATGACAAGTTTGCCGTACTGAAATGCTTGGTGTTTTTGTGATCAAGGTGGGATTTACAAGTGGAACCGTTGTTATTAAAGTTTAATCACCTTGCCGACTCTTTTCCTTTCCGATGCCATTCTGATGCCACAATTTTTTTCAAATCATAGAAATACGCCGAATGCCGTTTTTCAATTTGAAATAAAATCCGTTCATTTCATTTTCTACACTTTTCGACATTTTTAATAAGCGCATCAACTAGAACGTGAGTTTGGAACCTCGAAGCACTTTGAAACTCGAAAGCAATATGAACACATTTTAATCATCAAAACTCAAACTATAATTGGAATCAAACCTGATAGAAAGTTGCAAATCACTGAAAGTCAACGATCAATCCACTTTTACAACAGAAGGTCCCCAAAACAGATACAGGCGTGACTCAGCCGTTGAGTCTCGGTCTAAATACTCATTCTACCTGGAACATATTGGTTTTGAACTTTCTTCAGCGAATTCCAGTTAAAATTTTCCATGGACTGATTTTATCACAAATATTTCATAATTATTGTGGATAAATGTACTTACGCGTCACAAATTCAGGAGAAGAGGCTTCGATGGCGAGATCTGATTCTTTCTGGGAAGTACGATCTATAAAAAGACACGCAAAAATTCACGATTTAAGAAAAAACAGGTTGTTAGAGAATTGCAAAAACAGCCTTTATACGCCACTGTGCTACCTGGTCATGCGCAGATATACCCAAAAGTAAGTTTTCCTAGTTTATTTCTTTAGAAGTGACATAGATAAAGTAAATTTGTAAAAAGGGTTTCGTCTGCCATACTTTTCAGCTTTTAAAAGGCTCTGAGGTTGTTCGGCCGAATTCAAAACCTGGGTCTGCCCGATTTTGCCAGCCTATTCGAATTAGATTTACCAAGGAAACAGGGGAAACTCTAATTAATGAAAAAGCATCCGTCGAAGCGGAGGTTTCAAACTTCATTCCATAGAAAGTGACTTTACCGTATTTCAACGAAAGTATGCAGATCAAACACGTTTTGAAGTTGACGATGGTCGATGGATAGGCATATCATGCGATTACTCATCCTCTCAAACATGTGCGATTTGTGGTATTAAGCCTTCAAATGCAAATAATATCGATCAAATAGAAAGATATTGACGAGGCAGCATTAAAGTTTGGTATGAGTCCCTACATTGCTAAATACGTTTTTTTAAATGTGTCATTCACACGGAGAAAAAAACTTCAGCGAGGGGAACTGAACTTCAGTTCACCGACCTGAAAACTACAGTTCATATGGATCACGAAAGTTTTCAGATCACGGAACTCACGTTCCGCAGTTTGGCGGGCTGAGGACTTCGGTTCGGCGGGCTGAGGATTTCGGTTCGGCGAACTGGAGTCTTCAGGTCGGTGAACTGAACTTCAGTTCACTGAGCTAAAGTCATCAGTTCACCGAGCTGAAGTCCTCAGTTCACCGAACTAAGGTATCCTGACGATGCTGTTGAGGCCCCGTGATATTGGGGGGAGGGGGGGGGACGGGGCTAGGGTGCCCATTAATACATAATGTCGAGATATTTAATGAAAGGGGAGGGGGAGAGATGATTCCAAATTTCCCTCAATAGAGGAAAAGA